AGGTTAGTGTTGGGGAAATGGTGCAACTACAAAGGGGCAGCACGCTGGAGATTTGTAGGTGGAGGAAATTGTTTGTATCCTCAACTATGGATCGTGGTGGTATTAACATGTTTTAATACTCATGGAATTGTACGTCAAAGAGATCAATTTTAGTGTATGTAGTTTTCAAAGAGTAAGATAAAGTAAAACAAGTTGTACCACGTATTAGTTACTTCAGATCTGGAATATAACTTCCAACACTTTCCCTAGAATTTCCTATTGTATTTTTCCTTTTTGATAGAAGAAAATATATACTTTTAATCAAGTAAATGTATAAAAGATTTATGTAAATGTATACATTTATATAAATTACGTAAATTTATAAATTTATGTAAATATCTTACAGCTTCTTAATAATAATAATAGTATATGTTACATGGCACTTACTTTCATTTTGAGAGCATTCTTGGAGTCCTTTGACCTTCTATCTAATTTTGACTAAATATTTGCTAGGTGTACTATACTATTACATCCATAATTTTTTTACCTTTGCACTCCTGGGTTGGTTCTGTTGTTTCCTGGATTTTGAGCTCTTTTCTCAGGAAAGTTTACAATTTTCTCTATTTAATATTTAATTTTTTTAACTAAATCTTCATGAGAGATAAGATTTATAGATTTTTGCATGCCCCAAAAATATATTTTTCTTTTATGCCTGGTAATAATTGGTCTGGGTAAGGAAATCTATGTTCCATGTCATTTTTAAAGAGCTCTGAAGGTGCGGATATCAAACTCACTGTCTTAATTTGGGTTCCTCAAGAAAGCAGGAACTAAGCAAAAATTTAAGTATAGGTAGTTGATTTTGGTGTTAGACCCAGGAATCAGAAGTGAGACAGTGGGGAGAGTGAGGTTGTTAAGAAAGAAAATGTAATGTTAGGGTGCTCTATCAAAGTAGCTGCTGTGGACAACTGGGCCCAATTCCTCCAGCATCTTCTGAGAACTGTACCTACTACCTGCCAGATTTTTCCATCTGGAGTATAGGACACTGGAGTACTTGATACACAGGTTACCACTCCACATTGTTTGTTGGATTCTCTTTAGGTGCATTAAATTTCTCCTTCCACTGCCATTTGTTGTTAGTACTTGAAAGTTCCTACAGTGCTGGAGAAAGCTCTGAGGCAAAATGCAAAAAGATGCACATTTTTCAGCATTATATAAATTTGAGGCCACTTGGAACTGTCTACTACAACTGATAATGAAATCATATTGTGCATTGACAGGATGTGACCAAGGACCCACCCCAGAGGTGTCTGGTTCACTCCTTACACTGTAGATATATCTGCTTATGTACCTGACATGGTTTGGCTGTGTCCCCACCCAAATCTCATCTTGAATTGTTATTCCCATAATCCCCATGTGTCATGGGAGGGGCCCGGTGGGAGGTAATTGAATCATGGGGGTGGTTACCACCATGCTGTTCTCCTGATAGTGAGGGAGTTCTCATGAGATCTGAGGGTTTTATAAGCATCTGGCATTTCTCCTGTTGGCATTCATTCTCTCCCCTGTCACCCTGTGAAGAAGTGCCTTCTGCCATGATTGTCAGTTTCCTGAGCCCTCCCCAGCCAAGAAGAACTGTAAGTCAATTAAACCTCTTTTCTTTCTAAACTACCCAGTTTTGAGTATTTCTTGTGAGAACAGCCGGTACAGTACCACATTAAGTTCACTCAGTTTCTGATACTTCAAGGTAGTGACAAGCTGGAATTTTTATAAGATTTAATACAGGAGTCTTAGTGGAACAGACTACAGTCCCTAATGCTGCCACTTTGTCCAAGACCATTAGAGATATTTACCATCTCTTGTCTCAATTGTTCATTCTAGATTTTCTCCCTTTTTCAGGCAGAATTTTATCTCATCTAAACAGCTTACCTGGTGTGATGACCAAGAGCTTTCTCTCTGAAAGGTCAGTTAAATTACTCAAAGTTTCTTCTGTGATTACCAACCATCTACTTCTGGATAACAAGGCACTAAAACATTTAGTGGCTTAAAACAACATATTATTTATTGTTTATTATGGTTTCCTGTGTTGACTAAACTTAGCTGGATTGTTGCTTGGGATCTCTCCTATGGTTGCAGTCTGTTAGAAATAGATATTGCAGTCATCAGAAGGCCCAAATGACCTGAATGCCCAAGTTCCAGTTCACTGCAGGCTGTTGACTGGGGTATCTACACATTGCCTGTCCATGTCTTAGGCTTCTCAGGTATGGCAGTTGAGTTCCAAAAATAAGTTATAGACAGACAGGAAGTAGAAGTGTTATGGGATCTTAGTGGTGTCAGTTTTTCTGGCTGGAAACCTCTGTGGCTAGTGGTGCCTTTGCCTGAGTTCTTGTCCTATGTCCAGAAAGAATGAGGTATGCAGACAAATGAAGGATGAACAAGACAAAGAGGAGCTTCATTAAGTGTTAGAACAGCTCAGAGGAGACCTGCAGAGGGTAACTCCTCCCTGTTACTATCAATGTCTGCTGCTCTCAGCAGAGTGGGGGCCCTGGAGAGGGTAGCTCCTCTCTGCAGCTGGTAGCTCTCATGCCTCTGCTGGTCTCTGAAGCTCTCAGTAAGAGAAGGTAGCTCCTCTCTACAGCTGGTCATCCCAGTCCCATCACCTCTCTGTTCTCTCCACTCGCTGCCCTGCTCTGACTGAGCCCGGGGCTTTTATTGACCTCAGAGGGGAGGAAGTATGTGCTGACTGGTCCATGGGCAGCCATGGGCAGGCCCAGGAAAAGGCACCATAAGTTCCCCATCTTGTCTGCAGGACTGGCATCCTGGCCTCCAGGCTTCAGGCCTGTTCTGGCCTGAAGGTGGGGCTTCACTGGGGATTCACCCCCTTCCTCCCAGGAGCCTGTCTGCCTCCCACATCATCCATAGAACCCAGGCTGCTGGTATCTGCAGGCCATCACCCAACTACCCCCAACCCACCTCAATGTCCCCTCCATACTTCTTGGTGCCTAAAGTCCAGAGGGGGCCAAGGCAACAGGGGGCTGGCATGCCAGTGCTGCTCCAAGTGTGGGCACACCTGGCTAGTCTGTGACAGTGCCCAGGCTCAGCCCCAACCCTTCTCCAATATTGGAGCCAATGCTGGGAGTTGGGATAGGCTAGGCAGTGGGAGCAGGCACCTCTGATCCTACAAGGGCAAGGGGGCCCTTCCCAGGCCCCCCAGGAGTGCAGGAATGCCTAGGTCTGCAGCTGTGGTTTGGGAGGCTGCAGCTGTGCTGGGGGGCAGGGCTACTGCCTGCTTTTGGAGTGGGAGGCCCACATCCACAGTCACAATGTGGACAACTGCAGCCTCACCCTCCTGGCAACTCCAAGTCCTTTCTGGGCCTGGGCTGACATCCAGGGCAGGCATGACGTTGCTGTGAGCTGCCCCTGTGGCCTTAGCACGCAACCTGGCCCAGCGCCATCATGGCAGCTCCCAGGGTGGTGGGCTGCAGGCAGCGAGGGCTGTCCAACTCCTTCCTGTGCCCTCCCTGAGGTGGCCAGCGTGATGGCAGTGGTTACCCCAAATGGCCCACTTTTGCCATCAGAAGCTGCTAGTTTCTTAAGGCCAGGACCTGGCATAATGTGACTTGTATTATATTTTATTAGTTAAAGAAATTATAGATCCTGCTCAGATTTAAGATGGGCATAAGACTCATTTTCAATGGAAAGATTGAACTTCTCATAAAATAACCTATGTTTGCAACTAAGTAGTTTTCTTAGTGTCCTTCCTGTTTAGATATCCAGAGAGAGCTTTTTCTTTAATTTTGTCCCATTTCTCTCTCTTCCAGTCCAAGCTGATAATCATTCCTTTAAAGTTTTTGTGGACTTTCTGTGTATTAAATTACAATCCACTTTTTTAAACCAGTGGTTCTAAATATAGATTGTTTTGTCCTACAGGCATTTAGATGGTCTGGAAACAATTTTGACCGTCAAGAATTGGGTGAAGAGGCCAGGCGCCGTGGCTCGCACCTGTAATCCCAGCACTTTAGGAGGATGAGGTGGGTGGATCACCTGAGTTCAGGAGTTCGAGACCAGCCTGGCTAACATGGTGAAACCCCATCTCTACTAAAAATACAAAAATTATCTGGGCATGGTTGCGGGTACCTGTAATCCCAGCTACTCGGGAGGCTGAGGCAGGAGAATCGCTTGAGCCCAGGAGACACAGGTTACAGTGAGCCCAGATTGCGCCACTGCACTCCAGCCTATATGACAGAGTGAGACTCCATCTGAAGAAAAAAAAAAGAAAGAATCGGGTGAAGATGGTCCTACTGGTATCTAATGGGTAGAGCTCACAAATATTGCTAAACATTCTACAAGGTACAGGACAACACAAAAGACTCCCTCATCCCAACAAGGAATTATCTGACCCAAAATGTCTATAGTGCCAAGGTTGAAAAGTCCTGCTTTAGATAACAGCCACACCCGTAAGTCTATTTGAGACAGCCCCTTCATTACCTTTGGTTCCCTATGATAATGTCTTCAATATTATTAGAAGACTTAATGTGTCACAGAGAGGGTATACAAGGACCTTTATCTGTTTGAAGTTATCTTTCAGATACCACTTTAGCTCTTTCTTCAGTTTATCAAGGACCTTATACTTCCACACAATTTGATCTTTGTTTTGAAAAAATTTATACTATGGCATTCTCTTTCTGGAGAGATTGGAGATTTTTAAAAAACAGTCTTATTTTTGGGCCCAGAAAGCTTGACCTTTTATGTTTCATTTAAATTCTGATTTTAAAAAATGGAAGTATTTCCCCTTTGTTTAATTTCTCTCTTCTTATATTTTATCATAGGCAGCTAAAATCAGCCAGATGAAGCTTGAAATTCTGCCTTCAAACCTCCCTAACTATCCCAATGTTACTGGGTACTCTTTCTATTTTTCTTATTGCCAAAGGTGACAGTGTTGCCAGATTTTCTGCCACTACATAAAAAGTGCCTCTTTTCACTAGCTTCTGTTATGGACTGAATGTATGTATCCTCCACGAATTCATATGTTAAAGCCTTAACCTCCAATGTGACTATCTTTGGAGGTGGGGCCTGAGAAGTAATAACATTCAGATGAGCTGATGGTGGTGGAGCCAGCATGATAAGATTAGTTCCCTTATAAGAAGAGGAAGAAAGATGGATTTCTCTAAAAGTACACACATTGAGGAAAGGCCATGTGAGTGATACCAACAAAGTTGGCCCACCTTAAAATGGGGTCTTTCCCTGTCCAGTGCCACAAAGTCAATATGCAAAACCAAAAGTGAGAGTCAAGAAGTGCAGGTATAGGGCATATTTAATGAAAGGGTTGGGCATTAAAAATGAGGAGAGGAATATTCATGTATTTTCTGGGAGCGGGTAGAGAACTTGGAACTGGAGTTGCCACCTTCCTTTTTGTCATTTTGTGGTTTATTCTGGTCGTTGTTATAGTGATTGTCAATGGTCATGGTGCTTGTGGGAGTGTCACTGAGCATGTATATTAGATTATAATGAAGTTAGAAGCTCTTCAGAGGTCAGGTGACCTGCCATTTTACATCCCACCAGTCTTAGCTGGTTTAATCACAAGGGGAAACTTCTGACTTTAGTCCTCCTGTCTCCTAAAGATAAGCAGAGTTAAGGTGGTATAGAAATTGATCTAGGTCTTAAAGGCATTACACTAGGTAACATGAGGACACAGTGAGAAGGTGGTCATTTGCAAGCCAGAAAGAGGGCCTTTGTCAGGAATCAAATCTGCTGGTCCCTTGATCTCAGACTTCCAACCTCCAGAACTGTGAGAAGGGTCTGTGGCTAAGCCACCTAGTCTTTGGTATTTTGATATAACAGCCTAGGCTGAATAGGACAGCCTCTAATAACATCCTCACTGTCTTCAAGCCCTCTCCAGCAGCCTCCTTAAGGTCTTCCAGGTTTCACTATCAGTCTCCTGCAAACTCTTCCAGCATCTGCCCATTGCTTAAACCCAAAGCCAATTGTCGTCAATTTTTAGGTTATGTTTTTTCTAGGAGTAACATTTACTTTGCTCTTGTTAGGTTGTCACAGCTGTAATTATTCCTTCATCATTGTCACCAGGCATGTGAGCACCAACATTTCGGTTTATATTTCTCTAAACTAATGCCTGAGAAAAAAGACTTAAGTGAAGTTCATTTGTTTGAAATAATATCCCAAGAAACAGGGTTAAGGGAAGGGAGTAGTGAGACCAGGAAGGAGGAAAAGATAATAAGGTCACTGGTTGGAGCTTTAGTCTGCTAGGATTTTTGAAGCACATGTAATGCCACCCAGAATTATCCACTGGAAAGACAGTATGCTTTTGAGTTGGGATGCTGTATCTGTGAGGTGTCCCTTTACATGAAATGTGCTTTTCAAATGTTCTGAAATTAGATTTGCAGCAAAGGGCTATGGCACAGAGGAGCACTGAAAATATCTTCTACACCAAAACTCATTATTTATAGGCTATTTTATTTTCTTTCTGGAAGCTCTTAATATTTTATCTTCATCCTAAATATTTTAGATTTGATAATTCCATGTCTAGGTGCAGGTCTTTTTGATTTCATTCTGCTTGGCACTTAGTGATCCTTTAAATATAAAGTCTCGTATCTGTTTTTAACTCTAGGAATTTAGAACTCATATATAATTTCTGCTTCTTCATTTTCTTCGTTCTTTCTTTGGAATCTCCTATTTATTAGGAATCAAAATCTGCTATATTCTATTTCTTTGTCTTTTTGCTATGTCCTCTAGGAGGTTTCTTTATCAGGAAACCTTTCTGCTGAGTTTTCAATTTCAGAAATCATATTTTTTCATTTCAAAAACTCATTCACAGATATTTGTTTTTCATGGCATTCTATTCTTGTTGCATGGATATATTATCTTATCAAATGGAACAGAAGAAAACTGAAGATATACATGTTTTATTTCTTAAAAATCTTCACATGAAGACAAGTTTCAAGGGGAATAAGCCAAATAATTGATCCTTGAGAAAACAAAAATAACAAGGAAAGACTTTGTTATTTATGTTTTATTATGTATTATTATTTATTATTTATGTATCATGTTTTATTTCCTTATTAATTGAGTTGTCTCTAGGATCAGTTATTTGTCTTATTCTTCTTGATACTCTTTATTACACAATGATTTTCCCAAATGTCTCATGATAATTGGATTTCCATTCATCTTTATGAATAAAAAAGTGTTAATTCACTTAAGTTGCTGGGATAAGTTTCGCTGCTGCGCTTTAGATATGTTTGTATATCAAACCAACAAGCATTTCTCTTTATCTAAGAGGGAAGTATGTGTGTGTGTTTTGCATTGTTTGTGTCTGGGTGTGATGTTACTGGTAATCAGCAGGTTTCATTTGAATGTATATAGATGGTACATAGATGAGAAGCAGGCAGACAGTCTGCCCATGGGATACCTTAGAGAAAATCAAGGTGACTTTAGATGAAAAATCTAGCACTTATAACATTTGCTATTCCCAAGCAGTTGATTTAATTTCTTTAGGAAATAGTTATTTGGTTTATGCTCAGGGAACATGCAAGACCTGTCAGGCATCATTCACATGGCAATGAGAGTCTGTTGGGAGGAGCCAAGATACCACGATGTGGACAGTTTTAAAATAATTTCCTTTGATTGCTTCTGTTAAGTTATTTCCTACCCCCTGGGCCTGCTAGTTCTTAGCATCAGCCTCTTCTAGATTCTCTACAAAGAGCAGTTTCCACCAATGCTGATGTCTGTTCCTATTCAGCTTCTGACCTATATCTTCATCTGCCTGCATAGTTTATCTGCCTTTATAACTTCTTCTACTTTTAACTATGCAAGAGCCATCAGAATATTTGGTCCAGGGATGGGCTCCCCACTCCAAAACGTACTTTGGTTATAAATTTATCTCATATTGCATGTCTTTACCCTAAGTTAAATAAAACTGTGATACATTGAAGAGGTAACTACATCTTTTCAGTCTGCTATTTTAAACTGGCAGCAACAAATATTTTCTTAATCTGTTTAATAAAGTGTTAATGTCTTCTAGTAACAATGTAAAAGTTAAGTAGAAAGTATTTTATATTTTTTAAAAACACAAAGATTTTCTTTTATATAGACCTTAACTTTTAATAGACTTTTAAAAACTTTTATTTAGGCTCAGAGGTATATGTGAAGACTTATTACATGAGCCTCGAAAGTGACTTTAATATCCTGAAAACATATAGCTAAGACCCAAACTGGGATTAGATACCCCGCTATGCTTAGCCGTAAACCCCGCTATGCTTAGCCGTAAACCCAAATAGTTAAATTAACAAAACTACTCGCCAAAGTACTACAGGCAACAGCTTAAAACTCAAAGGACTTGGCAGTGCTTTATATCCCTCTAGAAGAGCCTGTTCTATAATCGATAAACCCCAATATACCTCGCCATCTCTCGCCACTCAGCCTACATACCGCCATCTTCAGCAAACACTAAAAAGGCCTTAGAGTAAGCACAAGTATGTACATAAAAACATTAGGTCAAGGTGTTGCCTATGAAATGGTAAGAAAAGGGCTACATTTTCTATTTCCCAGAAAATTTTACAATAACCATAATGAAACCCAAAGGTTCCAGGAGGATTTAGCAGTAAATGAAGAACAGAGTGCTTGATTGAATGAGACCGTGAAGCACACACACACCACCCATCACCCTCTCAAATACTAGTCTAGAGACCACTATTACTAATAATTTTCCTACACATATAAAGAGGAGATAAGTTGTAACATGGTAAGCGTACTGGAAAGTGCTCTTGGACTAACCAAAGTGTAGCTTAACTTAAAGCACTCGGCTTACACCTGGAATATTTCATATCACCTGACCACTTTGAGGCAACTCTAGTCCCAACTTTATTAAACTGTGTTACCAGATCTCCTTAAACCAAATCATTGAACCTGGACAAAAGTGTAGGTGATAGTCACTTACTCTGGTGCAATAGTTATAGTACCGCAAGGGAAAGATGACATAATCACACCAAGCATCAAAAAGCAAAGACAAACCCTTGTA